TATATATATATATATATATATATATATATATATATATATATATATATATATATATAAATAACTTCTATTAAAAGCCATTATACAGGGTCTAAAAAGCCACACCCAGCTTTGGAGCCGCAGGTTGCAGACACCTGCATAAAAATTAAAAATAGGCTCGGTAACAGTCGGCAATATGTCACGAGAACTAATAATTTTATTTTGCTTTACATTTAAAATATACTTATAGGAGTATCTAAAAAGGCTGAAATAAAGCTGAATTTTGCTCATTTCTAAAGAGGCAAAGCAGTTAACATGTTTGAAATAAACATTGCAATGTTCAGATTAAAATCTCGTTGGTTCTAAATTACCTTGAAAGCTCAAGAGTAGAGTTTATACAAAAGCTTTTACATTCTAAAACACAATATCACAATCTGAATATGTGGGTTTGGACCAAACAGAGACTGAAAGGAGGAGGTGGTTTGAAAGGATTGGTTGTTTTCCATTCTCTAACATTTTATAAAAATGTGTAAATGGGCAGAACACATAGGAAGAAATCAGAAATCTGTAGCCCTAATTTTAGTAACTAAAGCTTATCCCGCAAACACCAAACATTAAGAAGTTGTTTTTTAAGCTAAATCTAGTAGGTCCATTTGAATCCAGTTTGTGTGGGTTGTATTTTTGTGTTTTTATCTCCCTCCACCACCAGGTGGTGCCCTGTTCTCGTTGGTCTTCCCGCACACCTGCGGCTGGTTGGCTCATTACTGACGACTATTTGAGCGATGGACTGTCACTACCTCGACGCCAGAGTGTTTGCCAGTTTTGGGTACTCTAGCCAAGCTGAGATTAGCTTAGTCTAATAGAATCTTTGTTTCACTGAGCCTAACTGAGTTTTTTGTCTTTGCCTTTCGGCAGGAAGTCCTATGAGCTGGATGTTTTGGCCTTCTACCCCTGGAAGGATTGTTTGAGTCTCACACTGAGCAGGGGATTAACCTCCACAAGTTCCGGTTCACCAGTACACAGAGTTTCCTGAATCCAACCCCCATTCATTTTACCCTGGTTCTTTAAGTGGTTTATTGCATGTGGGTCAGATCTCTTAAGAAAATCATAACAATAATTAAATGTAGATGTTATTTGGACCTAAATCATTTAATCTTTTCAACCAATTTTTGCTTGGTGGGTATTTTCCCAATGTGAGAAATTTCAAATGTTTTTTAAAAGAAAATAAAACAAACCATTCTATAAATGCATTAATGGTATGACTGCTTCTATCAGACTCTTTTATGTATGACTAACCAAACAATGCGAGGTACTATATGCTAAATGAAAACACATTGGTGACTGAAAAAAGGCATGTTTTGTTTTTTTCCCTCAAGGGTAAAGCTAGAATTTATGTTTAGATCTTTCCAACAAATTCCCCCCCGTCATCTGTTAGTTCAGATGGTATTCAACTAGAAATATGCTCAAGGCATCAGCAAGTATGTTGTAAGCCATTTGTGGTGTCATATCATCAATCAAAGATAGATACAGTTATGTCTTTAAAATTTCTTATCTAAATGCAAAATAAACTTGAATAGAAATAGAATGTAAGTATAGACAGGCAAGATACTAGGGTGGAGCTGGATGACAGACATGCCTACGTGTTTTGAAGCTTCCCAGCTGCTATTTTGAATCAGCCTCACTATTGGTCTTCACAACATTACTGGCCATGATTTGTGATAAGAAATACTTGGAGGAAGTGTAGAGTAGGAGCTTTCTTTCAACAAGGTGATCAGCAATGTGCAGCTATAAGTGAGGGAGGGGCTTTAAGGGTTCATTATACATAAGTTTGTTTTTTTCTTTTCAAAGTGTTGCAGGTCTTGAGCAGTAAATGTTCATTTCAGCTTTCTAAGCTTGTTGAGCTACAAGCTGTGGGTGGAGAACTCTTAAAAAACCAGAAAGACATTCAAAACCTTAATGTATGTCTGTAGAGAAATTACCTTTATTTCCAGACACAGTTCTTTTCTTACACATGCAGACAGATACTGAACAAAGATGCAATGAAAGGCAATGAATAAAATTCAGAACCTGATTACGAAACCTACACCATGCTACGACAAATGCAATTTCCCAGCAATTTTACACCAGCACATACAAGAATATATATTAACAAAACAAAAAATCAAAGTTTTCTCATGGGCGGTATCCTGCAGAGTAGTGAGTTTTTTAGCCATAGTGTGCATCGTTGTGTAAACCTGAATGAATAGCTGAATTTTGTTCAACTCTAAAAACAGCTCACTGACAAAATGGAAATTCTTGGGATTTTTCATGTTTTTTGCTAAAAGCTTGTCTCGTTTTGTTATTATAGGTCCAGGATTTTACTTTATCCCATTCGTATGATTTTTAATCTGCAGTAGTTTGTCAGAAAAAAAGGTTATTTCATCCATTTAAATCCTCACTAACTGTGATTTTTCTCTACAGTTAGGCCTGGAATGGAAGTGAACAAGCAATTTCCAATTCAAACCTCTTTGGTATCACCTGGAGAATGAAGAGAAGAACCAACCTGGACTGCATATCTTGTGTTTTGAGGCTGCTGGTGGATGGTGCGGTACTGCTGGGCTGCTGGCTGAGCTCCACCAGGGACTGATAGTACTGCTGCTGTTGCTGCTGCTGCTGCTTGTAGCGTGAAAGGATGAAGAAGAGGCCAAGGATGCTCTTTAGGTTGCCATTTCTGATCTCTGGAAGAACAAAGTGGATAGACGGGGTGAGTAGCTGTGACATTTAACAAGCTGGCCTTGCATCTATGTAATGCTGCGGGGCAAAGAGGTTTACAGCTGAGTAGAGTCAAAGCACGTTCATTAAATTAAGCCCAATCTGCAAGTGAAAGCAGTGCAGGAGTTTGTTTTTCATTATTCTACGACTGAAGTGGTGTCTTGTGACAGTTAGGATAAATATTTTCCGTCCTCTGTATTGTGTCTTTCAAACAGCATGGAATCAGCATGTGCTGATTTTTGAAAAAAGGCCTCTTGGGGACGGAGAGCTAGAGAGCAGCTGTTGTGCAGCTAACATAGGGATGAACTGTAAATGAACCATTACCCACAATCATTATCTGCTGAAGATGACTCCACTACTCAGGAAAAATTATTTTCATTATTCAGTAAATTATTGTTGAGCGGGTATTTTTTCCGGCGTGCTATACGTGAAAGACCAAGACGTAGCTGCCAAGATCCAATTGGAAAATTGTTTAAAAGAAAAATATCTGCAAACTGGCAAGCATTTGTGTTTAGCTGCCTTTTATTCTGGTAGAGCAAAAATCATATTTGCAGTTATGCTTTTCATTCAAAAAATATAGTTTGTTTTTACAAGGTAGACAGAAGAAAACTATTGTTGACAAAACCTTAATCCAACACATCATCTATAGCGGAAAATCTTGTGCACAGACACTTTTTAAAATGTTTTTATTCTTTAAAACTTTTTGGAAAACCATGTATCATTTTTCCCCTCTGGGCATTACTTAATGTTAATGCTAGCACAGGGGTCTGCATTATCTGCTTTCCTAAGAGCCACTTTGCTCTGAGTACGGTGTTGTAAAAGTTGTTTCAAGCTGCGAAAATTTATTTGACATTTTAATAAAACACAATCTATTATTTTTGTCCAACATCTGCAATAGAAAAATCTGCTGCCATCTTAAACAACTAAGAGTTTATCTGCACTTTATACCTTTGGAAATAAGGAAAAATGTATTATTTTTCTTCTATAGAATATTTTAAAATATCAAAAAAAGAACAATTTATAAAACATAATTTCCAAGCTAATTGCAAGGAAAAAATTGCTCTAAAACATATTTCTGGTTCTTTTAATCTAATTTTGTTGTGGAAATCCAATTCAGATGTTGTTTTTTTTAAATAAAAACCACTAAAGCTTCTATGACTTTTACTTTTATTAGTTTTTACATCATTTTTAGCCTTTGTAGTGGATCCAAAGAACAACATGCCACTCTGGAACCAATGATATTCAGTGAAGAAATAGGTATATTGGAAATAAATTGAGAAATTTCAAGACTTATGGGTAGTTTTTTTGTGGCTTCCACTGGTGTAACTCTTATTTTCATATTTCATACCCTCACAAATAGACCATATTTGAAAAATGACAACTGTGGCTTTAAGTGGGCACTTGTGTCTGGTTTGGTCTCAAAATGTATTGCTGGTAATTGAAACCCTTTTAAATGAATTTACATAACTGTGTATTTGCAGCATATTCATATTGGTATCGTATTTACATCATGTAGCAAATTTCTAAAGTAAAAGCAGCTAATGAGAAGTGGAGCTTGCATTTTTTAAAATACATTTTTATTTAAATGATTTGATATTAGTATAAGACTTCATACTGAATTGAAAAATCAATCTTTTTAAGCAAAACTTTGGCCGAAGCACTCATTTAAAAACTGCCCTTTTTACAGTAGATCCAGTCTGCAGTAAGAGAGGCAGGGCAAAAATGTCAACGGCTGACGCAGGGCCTTTAGTTTCTTGTTTAAACTGCATGTGGGACACATACTAATCCATCTCTGGCTTGGGACCGTGAAAGTTAGATTAATCTCTTGCGATTGTTTTCCCTTTTATAACAGCCAGAGGCCATAATTCCTATTGGGGCTTTAAGAGACACTAAACAGAGGCTTATTTTCCCTGTGCAATACAGAAAGACACTGTTACAGATCTGAGCTGCTGGTGATAGAAACTTTTGGAAACTGATAAATAACTCTCTTTGATAAGTGTTGAAGAAAAAAAATGTGCAAGCAGAGAGAAGCTGCTCATGTGCTCATGCTCAGCAGTACATGTGATATTTTTACTCAGTGAAAGTTGGCAGGAGGGGATTTCTTAAATTGACCAAACTGCAGTGTCAGCCTCGATGTGTAAAACACTTGGGTTGAAATAAGACTATACATTATACCAACATTTATCTCTTCTTTAGCCCAAATATGTCTATGTGAATATTCAGTAAATAACCATTAACAAGAGAAAATATTGAAGAAAACAGCCTAGATTTCACTAGCGTTTTTCTTTATACCATTTTAAAATAGTTAGACTATTAAGTTACTGTATGGAATATCAATATAAGGGGGGTAAACAGAACCAGCTAGTTTATTTAAAAAAATGTTGCTTTTTAATGTGTGGCACAGTATAACTGATTGGGGGAAATTTTATGAAAACAAGAAAGTTTATGGTGATCGTTTCATTAGTAATAAAAAATGCTGTGTAACTGAAGTTTCTTAAAAGAAAAAAGAAAGGACACATGTAGTGTTTCCTCACCATTGTAGAGCAGTGGTGTCAAAAGTAAACACTTTTGTTACGTATGTAGAAGTATAGATACTGCAGTTTAAAACATTCTGATAAAAGTTGAAATATCAACTTGACCTCTTTATTCAAGTAAAAGTAAAAAGTATGTGCTCCAAAAAACTACTGAAAGAATAAAAGTATAAAGTAACCTTTAAAAAAAAAAAAACAGCCAAATTCCACTATAAGAATTGAAAGCTCAATTTTTCGACTATTTTGAAAAATTCTTTGAGATAGGGCCAAGGATGAGGGAGGTCTTGTTGGTCTCTGTCTCCCGATACGCTCTCGCCTGTGTCCGAGTTCAGATACTTTTGTGAAAATGTAATGAGTAGAAGTAGGAAGAAAAATAAGTAATGGAGTAAAGTATAGATACCTAAAAAGTGTACTTAAGTACAGTAATGAAGCATTTGTACCTCGTTACTTGACACCTCTACTGTAGAGGGCACTTAAGCATTTGACTTTAGTGCTAAAGTGCCCTCTACAGTGGTGAGGACACAGTATATGTACCTTTTATTATTGGTTATCTATAATAAGCTCCCATAGGGGCACTTTGCACACGTTTTGGCTCCCAATGGCGAACTGTAGCATGCGTTTTTTTTAATCAACTGGGCTAAAAAATGGGGAGACCACCTGCCCCTGCCCCTCCAATCCCCCAACCCCATATGAATGCCACTGATCAACCACCCTAGAACGCTTTGCTCGATTCACACTTTTTCAGCAATTGGTTGGCCAGCCACAGCAATTCAAATAAAGGCCAGAATCTTCTGCTTGCTTGTTTCCCTGACCATGGCTAACCTGATTTTTAAAACATCTTTTGTAAAAGCCACAAACCTCTTAAAATCATTCCCTACTCCATCCTTCATCAATATAATTTTTTATATTTCTGTTGAAATAAGCTTATACCTGCTGCATTCCTTCACCGTACTTCTCAGCCACACCTAGTCCCTGATTGGTTTTCTCGAATTTCGTCTTTCATACATCGTAGGGGATGCGGGACTCTTACATTGCTGTGTTCGCCCCAAAAGCACCGTTTACCTCAGCAGAATCACACAAATCCTGATTGAAACAAGGGATGGATAGCATGTAAATCTTTCACTCTGTTGAAAAATTCACAATGGTGGGAATTCACCATAAGACCTCTAGAAGTGGTAAAGATTACTTACTGAGAACGGGGAAGATAAGGTGGTACAAGAAGGGCTGATATTTTAGAAACAAGGATTTTTAAATTCGATCTCAAACAAGGAAGATGCGAAAGAACAAAATACCAAATAAGAGCTATTTCAATAAAACAAAACATACAAACAAACAAAAAGAGAAAAAGGATATCGGTTTGAGATAATAGGAAAGCAGCAACCATTGGATGTCTAACACCATTTATAAATGGACAACAAATCAAAATTTAAAGCAAATGGATTTCAGGCACTGAAAAACCACACAGGGAAAAACTGCAGTTAGTAAGATTCAGGCAACTGAGATTTAAATGTGCACACTGTAAAATTTAAAAACCTTATTCTGCTCTGATGCTCCTTAATTCTATCTGCAATATCCAGATGGAAGCACTTTAGCAAGAATATAGCATAAAACAACATAAAAGCATAGAGGACATACCTAATTGGTATGAATGCCTAATGCTGCAGGGGATGGTTGTATATTTGTTAACAGAGAGTTTATTATATGCCAGTATTCTTTACGGTCACCATATTTTAACCTAGTCAGCTATTTTTGGGTTGTGGTGGAACAAAATGTTATCGTTAAAGATTTGCATCTAAAAAAAGTCGCAGCAAATGGAAGATTTTATGACATCAATAACCTTTAGATAAATGTTCTGACATTTTGGTGACTATAAGGCAGTACTAACAAGGTAAAGCTATTAAGTGACTGTATAGTTTACTCTTCCCTTTATCCTTACATCTTTGAAACTGGATGATGGTTACAAAGACGTAAAAATGCGTTTAAGGTTGCAAATGAAATCCGACACACCCACTGAGATCAAGCAGCAAAGATTTCACAGTGGTGAGCAGGTCAAACTATAGGTTGTCCACAAGTTAACAAACTGTTAAGAGCCTGTTCTGTTAAGATCTTAGCTGCCGAGACGACACGCACTCAAAAAGATTAACGACCCACAGTTAAGATCCTTGAATTTCCTCATTATGAAGAGCAATTACTGGAATTTGGGCGGGGGTTACACCTGTGTTGAAGGCTAGGAGTGGATGACTCCTGCACATAATTATCACATTCAGGTAGTAAAAACATTTTATTACCTTACTTTGATTTTTCTTTTTTATTATTATTATGTGTGCAATGTGTCAGAGTGAGTTGGTAAGGTATTCCTTATGTGCGGGTAGAACGGCCATAAAGCTGGAAAATTTCATGTCAAGTCATCCGATATATGGTAAAAGTGCAGAATAATAAAAATGGAAATAAAAAACAGGGTCAAAATGTCAAAAGTATTCATGTCACCTTGAGCTGCACAGATTAATTTTAGGTAGTTTTATAAGTGCCTTGCATAGGCTCTAATGTCTTGCCCTCTTTAGTCACAAGCTCAGTAAACCAAACGACAAAGAATCTTACGCTGCTTTGATTTGATTTTTATTATAGCCTTTAAGCTCCCTTAGTGGAAACGGCTGTTGGGGAACCAAAACATGCTTCAGCGGACGACTTTTTGCCGGAACCTTGCTTTACAGCCTCCCACGGGAGAAGCGCAGCCAGGCTTTCCAAAGAAGTTATAGCTATAAGTAGGTTCTGGGTTCCTGTGTGCACATCAAACGCTCTGCTTTATTTAATTCCTGCGCCTTGTAAAAAAAAAAAAAAAAAACACACACACACCAGCCATAAAGGATGCATATGCCTGGAAAGCCCCGGCAGATTCAATTAGACATGTGAGTACGGGCAGGGATATGCCACAAACAGAGCAGAGTCGGTAAGAGAGAACGAGGGAGTGAAGGCACTAATGAAATGCATTAGCAGCAGCAATGAGCAGCGTAACCCAATAGCCCATATATCTAGAGACCCACTTTGAAATTCCAGATTTAGCGAGTCACTTTGCTGTTTTTAGAGCTGGTGGTGGTGGGGGTCAAAGAATGTAGAGCTGCTGGTCAGTGTGTCAGACTATTTCCACTGTTTAAGAGGTCACTACATTCATGCCTTGTCGTATAAAGAAGAAAATGGACATAGGTCTTTTTTAAAAGCTGAAAACGTCCCCTTGGGTACCTGAATAGTTTTGCATTTACTAAAGGATGTTAACTCCTTAACTTTGCATTGTCTACTGATAGACCTGAGAGGCATAAGAAGACATTCAAGTTGTGTTCAAGTTTGACCAGCTGGAACTAATATCGTAAAATATCTATGTAATTATATTGGAAAAATATACATTTGCATTAAAAGGTTGCTGAAGTAACAATACTGCAACAACTATTAATCAGCTGTATGCAAAAATCATCAGTATTAAGACAATAAAACATCTGAAATATTTCAGTTAGTGTGCGATGAATCTAAAATATATGAATGTTCCAGTTTTATCATTAAATTATGGAAAATATTGAACTTTATATGCTAATATTTTGAGAAGGACCTGTACTTATTCCTTATGATCATAACAACTGATGTATTGTTTTACAAAATTATATTAAGTTAAAGAAAAATAAAGGTAATAAGAATAACAATGATAAATGTAGGTGTAATGGAAACTCTTTTGAGTTCAAAAATCTATAAAATCAATAGTTACAGTGTATTAGAATGGGGTAAATTATATATTTTACTGCATATTAGGTCAGCCTCCAAATGACAATGCAGACTCAGCAGATGGAAATAACATTAAACCAATACGCCTAAAAAAAAAATAATAAAAAATAAGCTGGAGTACAAAAAAGAAAGTGTGTCTCTCCGTGGTGCTAATTCGCTTTAGACACAATAGTTTCATAAAGTGAAGTTACTCATAATAGATGGAGTAGCAAGAAATTTTGCAGAAGTAAGAGTAGTGATATTTATCCTCTTTGTACTCAAATAAAATTAACAATAAAAGTGTAAAAGTACTTCTGAAAGTAAAATTCTTTTCAAAATTTACGTGTATAAATGTAGCTATTTATTACACAACTCTGATTGGGCAAGGCAAGGCAAGGCTTGGACTAACATTAGCTAATTTAGATAAAGTACCCTAATATCTGTCATGATAACTTCAAACCCTTTATTGTTTGAGTATGCTCACAGCTAAAAAGAGATTTTTAATTTTAACTTATAAGTGAGGAAATTGGTCAAATTAGGCATAATTGGGCACAACTCTGCTCACTAGATGACAGCAAAGTGATTCAAATCCAACTGAAGGTATGTGTAGAACACGCATCTGATGGCTTTACTCGAGTAGAAATGCAGTTGTGGCTCCTTTAAGTCTGAGGTAAAGTTGCAACAACAGCCAATGAGAGGATAAACAATATTCAGCTACGATGCTGATATATATTGGTTTGAAAAAGAATAGTGTAACATGAGGTCCCATGACATTAAAACAATTAAAAATTAATTACATTAGCTGTTAAAGTGTGATTTCCTGATAGAAATCTGAGCTATAATAGTGGGCTTTAAAAGGGAAGGTGAGTGCTGTAAATCTGCCACCTTATTTAGGATAAAAAAAAGGACAAGATTTTCTTTAGGAGTCCGATTGTTTACTATTAAAAGATTTTTGACAGACGAGCTCAGTGGCAGTTCCAATTTGACAAGGGGAACCAGGATGGGGTCAGTTTTTTCTTCATGAGGGCACAAAGAAAAAGAAAAATGAAAATAAATTAGTGCGATTGCAATTATACAAAACAGATTTAATATTATGTCTTCAGTAGATGGGCCATAACAGGGGCGGTCCTACAAGGTCTTGGTCCCTGCTGGCCACCCATGGGCCAGCTCATAAAATCTGCTTTCAGAAGCATCAAAAAAATATTTTAATACTTTAAAATTAAGTGTGTTTTTGGTGCTTTTTGGCTACTTTGTAGACAAAGAGATTGCGGCATTTGAAGTAAACAATAAAAATGTTGGGAATCCCTCAACTTGCTAATCATTAGCTGCGAAACAACGCCATCAGATTACGAGCTTCTTTTCAGGCTTCAACCGATACGTCTATTTCAGTTTGTTAATCATTTTATAATTTTTTTACAGAAATCCTTAAGCAGTTATTATCAAAACATCAAGATATCAAGTGAGATTTCTTTTAAGCACTGGTCTGAAAAGTCTGTTTTTCAACTTGATAAAGCTGGTGTCTCTGTTGTTGTAGCCCTACTCTTCACCATCTTATGACAGTCTTAATAACTTTAACTTAATCCATCATGTGTAAATAGGCCCAAATTACCTCTTGCGATCTTAAATATACCTTATCTAATTAACACCATAAACACATGTATTGTAGTCATTGTGTTTAGTATGTCGTATGTATAACAGGAAATTTACTTCAACTAGTTTTCTGCAGTGAACATGTGTGGAAGGCATGGCCAACTAAATAAAAACAAAGGAGTTGATGAAGGAATTGAATACAACTAAAAACACCCGTTGCCTTCTCGGCTTTAAATCTTCAATAGTTTCTTACCTTCTGCTGAGAGCCCTTGGACATTCACTCCTCTGGCGTCCAGGAAACTGAGACAAGCGTCCACATTTTCGATCTGGAGAGAAGATGGCAGACAGTCAGCACGAAGGACGGACGCAGTGAGAATCTGATTACACTTAACATTCATTGAGACGAAATGTCTTGAGGCACGGGGCTCAGAGGAAGGGGCAGATCAGCAATATTACCAATAAAGAACATCATTGTATGCTTACTGCAGACCCCCGCATGACCTTGGGACCCGACGGCATGACACACTGACCGCAGTGTGTTACCACCTACACAACCACGTGCTGATCAGCAACGCATGATACCAGGTAGTGGTAGAAATGCACACAGATATCTACACAAAGTGAGAGTCAGTCTGCTTTCTGTGGCCTACAATCAGTTCTATAGCATCACTGATATTTGGGTCTTTTCTTTTTGCCTGGGCTGACAGCGACTAGCAGGCGGCTTCATTAGCATTGCGACCAGCAGCGAGCATCAACCCACAGGAGGTCTTTTATGACGAGGTTGAAGGTCACGGCGTCAGAGACACAACACGGAGCAGGCTGGGCAGCTCAGCGAGGCGCCCACAAGGCAATGATGAATCATGATCTTCAACTCCTCCATTCAAATCTCCCACTCACTCCTTCACTGCTTTGTGTTACTTGCTTGATGCCCAAATCTATCTTTAATAATTACATTGAGTCCAGTTAAAGCAAGACAATGAATCATAACTGCTCGCTAACCGCCTGCCTCTCACATATTGTCCTAACGATCTGTCAGTTATAAAAAAGACATATATATATAAAAAAAGATAAAGACAAGCAATGGATTGAGAGCTGGCAAAAAGTAATGACAACAAATTGTAAAACAGTTGGAGCAAACTAAAAGTGATTTAGACTTAGACAGATTTTATTTTTTCATTTTGTACACATAAGTGTATACAAAAAGAAATTTTATTAAGTACAGCTCTCTAGACTTTAAGTTTTTAAAGTGCATCCTAAGCAGCCAAGCAGTTATAAAAAAAACATTGTGATGAAATAAAACACAGTGGTGAAAAAAGGGATGTAAACACATGACTGTATAGTTACAGTTCCAACATTCAGGGTTTTTTTTAACCCATTTTACACAACATTCAGCAGTCTAATGGCAGTGGGGAAGAAGCTGTTCTGGAACCAGCTGGACCTGCATCAGATGCTTCGAAGCCTCTTCCTAGAGGGCAGCAGGGAGAACAGTCCATGGTGGGGGGGTGAGGGGTAATTTATGATGTTACGGGCTCAGGACACTCAGCGCTGGGATGAGATGTCTTTAATGGAGGAAAGAGGAGCCCCGATGATCTTATCTGCTGTTCTCACCACTCTTCTTCCAGTCTGAGGCGCTGCAGCCTCCACATCCCACAGTGAGACAGTAGTCAGAACGCTCTCTATGGTGCTTCTGTAGAAGGTGGTGAGGATGGGTGGGGGCAGGTGGGCTCTCCTCATCCTCCGCAGGAAGTACATACGCTTTAGTGCCCTTTTGACCAGCGAGGTGGTGTTTACAGTCCAGGTGAGGGTGTCTGTGATGTGCACTGCCAGGAATTTGGTGTTGACCACCTCTACAGCTGAGCTGTTGATGAGCAGTGGAGTGTGGTTAGGCCATTTCTTCCTGAAGTCCAAGATGATCTCCTTTGTCTTCTCCACGTTCAGGATCAGGCTGTTATCTTTGCACCAGCTGCTCCACCTCCTCTCTGTAGTCCTGGTCGTTGTCATCACTGATGAGACGCATCACCGTGGTGTCGTCTGTAAACTTCACAGGGACTTGGTCATGTGTCTTCAGGGTGAACAGCGGGGGAGCCTGTGCTTAGGATGATGACGTCAGAGGTGTTCTGTCCGACCCGACCTGACTGAGGTCTGTTGGTGAAAAGTCTAGCATCCAATTGCTGAGGTGTGTATAGAAGCCCAGTTTTTTTTCAGATTGCCCATCAGGTGCTGTGGGATGAGCCCAGGAACAGCATCCGCATGCGAGTGTTCTTCTCCTCCAGGTGTGCATTGTCCACCATTTCTGGATGCAGCAAGACTCCGTCAGAATGATGGCGCAGCAGTCACATATCTCCTTTTTTGAAGAGAGTTCGAGTCTGAAATTATCCATTTTGTTTTCCAATGAGGGAACGTTGGAGAGCAGGATTGATGGAAGCAGCGGTCTGTGGGGATTTCTCCTTAGTTTCGCCGTTAGCCTCTGCAGCCTTGCTTTATCTGTCTCGCACATCTCTTCCTCAGGCTGTTTTGTTCCGCTGTTTTGTTTACATCCGTCTGTAGCACTCCGCAGCTTTTTAAAATGTCTGAATTTTAAAAATTTCGGGACCGTAGCTCCAGCAGACGTTGGCGATCATAGATGTGGGTTTGATGTCTAGTTTGTATCGTTTTAAGCGGTATATTTCGCGAAATTTTTGAGAGCTGTTCTTTGCCGCTGCCTTGGAGCGCCGCCATGCTAACTGACTAATTTAGTTATTACAGCTTTATTTTGTCAGCTAACTAAAAGAGCTAAAAGTTTTTTAGTTACATTTTGTAAAATAGATCCAGGCCTCATTGTTACCTGAACTGTAGAATAAAAATCTGATTTCTAATGATAATTTTAGGGAAAAACTGGCCACCTGGGTACAAAACTTAATACTGATAAAGTGAGAATAACAAAAACAACAAAGCGACTTAATGAAAATGAAATAAAACTATTTTTTTACAACCTAAACTGGTGGCTTGACAAGCAAACAATGACGAATCAATTCAAACAGACTTTCTCCATCTGCCTTCCAGAATCACCTCTTTCCACTTCAAATCACCCAGCACACATTTTCTCCTCCCGTCAGGCACCAAATCTTTAAATGTGGGCTTCCTCAGTCTCTGCCCGCATGCCGCTCGCCCAGCCTGACACATGTGTGTCCTGGTGTTTTCTTGTTTGATTATCCCACACACTCGCTCTGAAGTTTGTATGTGGAAAGACATGTGCTGAGCAGCGTTCAGGGCCGCTCGTTACTCCAGGTTTAATTAGATTCAGGAAGAGCATGGAGTCTGATGCTAAATCTGTGGGCGAAATTAAATAGTAACCTTATGATACGTGATAATAGGCCTTTTTTATAAAGAGACAACTCAATTAATGCTTATTTAACTAAGCACAAAGAGCGGAAGCACTTCATGTCTCCTCTGCAGCTATGTGTGAGTGTTTAAAGGTTGATTTAATAGCAGATTAGGACAAACATGAAGGGCTGAACTCATAAACACACAATAAACCGCTTTAGCCAAAGCTGTCAGGCACTTAATGACAACCTACATCACCGAACAAACATGCATCTTCTCCCACCGAGGTCTATAGAGACGTCAACGGGAAAATTCTGAGGTCTCTACAGAAAACCGCTGTTTGTTTTCAAGCAGCATTAACGCTATAATGATGAAATATCGTTTGAAGGCGTCGATTAACGGTTAGGTCATGAATGTTCTGCTGGTGTTTAACTGCTTAGTTCAGTGGGCGGGTGGGCTTTGTGGCCTCCTGTTACAGCTCCAGCAGAAACCAACATCGTTTAGTTTTCCAACGCCGGCTGGCATCAAACAGATCCACGCATGTCAGTAACTGGAACCTGGGGAGAGCGCACATGTCAGGGTCTGAGGAACAGAATTTGTCTCGGAAAATATCGGAGAGATGCTAGATTTCTGTGAAAATGTGTTGTATAAAGAAACCCTCTCATCACTTTTGGCTCAATTAAGGAGGTTTTGGAAAAACTTTATTAAGTGCAGTGACATTTTTAATATGAGGTTGCTGAGGGATAGAAACTTTTAATAAATGCTTTTTCTCATCAGAAAGAAGTTTTTCCTTTTAGCATTTGTAATCTGGTGGCGTAAATATCGCATATAATTATGAAGCCCTTATATAAAGGTGAGTGTATCAAGTTTGATAGCTTGAGTCTACATTTGAGTGTCTTATTTTGAAGAAAAACAGGAAGTAGTTTTTGTGCTTGCTGTGAAAAATGTCCCAATTCAAGGGTTATATTCGTATTTGGAGACTGATTATGTCATAGTGTACAAAAACATTCTCTATTTGAACGATCTGAAGGATATAGGCCTATCAGGAGTATCCTTCTTGGCCCAATATTTCCCATAATTCAGTGTGATAGGTCAAGCTGACGATGGTGGAAAAATTGTGAATAAAAACTTAAATAGTATGCTTTCTAGGAAATGTTCAAGATGTTTTATGTGAGAATATAGGTTTGTTAGGCTCAAATATCTATTCCAAAAAAGTTAAAAAACAAACCACTTGACTTTGTTTTAAAGTTTGCAGACGTTTCGCTCCCCATCCAGGAAGCTTTTTCAATTCAAGTGTCAGAAATAGTGTTGAGTTGCTTTATATCCTAAGCAATTTCGAATACTCACACATTATCCCAAGGTTGTTCCAAAATGGAGTGCAACATGCTCAAATATCCACTTGTTTATTAATATTCTAATTAATTTGAAAAAAAAAGTTTGGTGGTTCTCAGCACCAATTCGCCTCGGCGTTCCCTTATTCTTATTCTGTAAAACTCCTGAGCTTCAAAACAAGTTCATTTTAATAAATTCTACTGGAGATAAATAAGGAGATTAACAACAACTGCAGCTCATCTTTTTAAATAAAAATAAAAACAAGTCAAGATCTAACCTTAATATTTAATTAATCCTCAAAAGTAAAGGGATAGTTAAGGTTTTTGGACACAAACCGTTCTACAGCTGAGATTTAACAGTGTCCCTACTGTCACCAAGCCTCCTGCCATGAAGCGGTCGGTAACGTAATGGAGCAAAAGTAGTTCCGGTACGATACGGGGGAGCAAATAATCCAAGGTTTTTAAGCTAGAAAAACTATGCATGTGTTTTGGTAGACTTGTTAAACATTTTAAAACATCCTGGAGCTACTGCACGTCAGACCATAATATCAATTAGCATCTTTTTAGCCACTATCACTCTACCTTATAGGTGACGGAGGCGGTTCCTATGAAAAGAAATAAACTAAATGGCTCATCAAAAACCTGTGAAAGGATACATTACGGACAATAGAGTCAAAGTGAGACATTCTTCG